CTTGGAGGCCATCGCTACTAGTAGCAAGAAAGGAGGTACTCTTGCAAGAGCTATACTCTTTCATGCAAGGAGCATTCATTGAGGCATGCGATTTTGAGACCCACCGCTGATATGGCGAAGAAACCGCTGATGGAAGAACCCCAGGTTTCTGCATGTTCAGCACCAGGGCCCCATGAAACGGGCAGGTCGCATGACGGCCAACCATTCACCTACACGACCGGTGGATGGAATCAAACGGTCCCCTGTGAGACTCGGATGACGAATATACCAAACAGCTGGGGAAATCACTCCACGTGGAGTCATTGAGTCAGGGAAGCTGAATAATGGGGAAGCTGAACAGACCCCCCTTGTAGAGGAAAGGCTTCTTCCAGGAAAGCATGTTCCACTTGATTCCTTCAGGGAGTGTACCAAATAGCAATGGCCTCCAACCTACTAGCGATGGCCTCCTACCTTGATTCCTTCAGCGGGTGTATTAGGCTGGCCACCCTTTCGCCATGGCTCAGGTACAGCTCACGGCCATCGCCTCACACTCACACGCGGCCGCGGCGCAAAACCGCCGCGACTGGCGAGAGGTGCGTGCGCAGCTGGCGGGACAGCCGAGGAGACAAAGCCATCAGGGAATCATGGGAGTATCCTCCCTTTTTTCCGACCTCCCAGAACTGAAACGGGAGTTGTAGATAGTTGTAGCTAATTTTTTTAAAGGGCTTTATTGCGTGATTCATGAGTGCATTGAGATAATTTGTGATCTTCTATTTTTCCGTTGGGCAAAATGGTGTGTCTTCTGATGCTAATTGGGCGGTGTGAAGGAATTAAGTGGGGAGAGGATGGGGAGAGGAACGGCGCCGCGTGATTCTGACGTTTTCATCACTATTTCAGTCATCTAAGCAGGGACCATTCATGACCGTTGACCATCGACTGATACCGGGTCGTGGACATACTGCAAAGGAATTGCATATCCCAGGAGTCACAAAGGGGTGGTTGTTAGTCCCTAAGTGAGTGGAAAATGGGCACCCCTAACCTCCATTAAGCACCCCTTTGTGACTGCTGGTCCCAATTCTTTTGTTTGGAGGATTTTGGGGGCTGTCGTTGTCCCTCCTGCTAAGATCCTAAACTTCAACATGAGATGTTGCAACGCATCCCTAGTCCATGATAGTCAGTCTTAGAATGTTTGGGGTGGACACCAAGCTGGTGCAGGATGCTCCGTCCACCACCCCCCCGTCCTGCACCGCCTCCGTTTGCACTCGGCTTCGACCACACCGTCCGTCAGACGCACCGCGTCACCAGGAGATCTGGATGGATGCATCTCACTCCAGTGGTGGAGCTGGGTTCCTTGCTCGTGGCAGGCACCAACCGCGGCCGTGGTGTGCCCGTTCTCGGACGTGGTCGGTGGCCACGAGGGTCACGGATTGGAGGCAAGATGCTGAAGCAGGTGGGAGGCCATTGGGTGGTAGGTTGTTCTTCGTTGCACCTGAGGTCAGAGACCTCCACGGCACCTAGGCATGACGTGTATATGTTGCATGATGTGTGGATCGAAGCCTTTGACATAAAGCAGAATCAAGAACATATATATATATATAATATATGGTGACAGGGTTTGGCAGTGGGTATTCGAAAGAATTGTACTTGTGCTCGCACAAATGTATGATAATTAGACCCGTGGTTTTGAAGAATCATGAAGAATCAGTCGTCGTTGTCTTTTTCTTTGTTCTTTAAAGGAAAGTTGATATGTATTGGAGATGGAAAGAGACTTCGGTTTATCATTGACTCCTGGTTTACGATTGCGATGTTTTCACATTGGGACTCTTGTGTTGGGACTTCTGAACCCAAATTGTCCATCGCATTCCCCAGACACTCCATGTATGCTGTATACTAGATTGACCCCAGTCAACCACCCCTGGCCTGATCGGCTATGGCAGTCCCATGGAGTGTTTGGGTGTTGCTTGCTGCCTAGTCCTTGGGAAACGGTACCCCGTTCTGATGATGCGACTCGGTCCATGTTTCGCGGCACGGAGCCAAGTTTCAGCCACTCTCCACTCGATCAGGTTGGAGGGATTTGAACACCTTTAGGCCTTCCTTATTACGAACGTAGCTTCTTGTTCCTATAGCTTCTAATGCCAGGAGCGCCCCGTTCGTAGCGATGCCCTAGACCCCCCCACAGCGGCCGGAGCGGTGCGGCCTGCGGTGCGCGTGTCAGGCTGCGGTGCGAAAGTGGCACTAGAGCGGCCGGAGCTGCATAGGGCCTTGGCGCTGGTGGTGGAGCATGGAGGTGGGTGATTTGGATGGTTGGGTTCCTTTAGGATGCAGATGGATGCAGCCAAGGCAAGGTTTGCTGGTAAACTAAGTAGGCGAATTTCAGGGAAAACAACCTTCTCATAGAATCCTAAACAATCACAAACTGGCTGCCTATGGTGTGCATATATGTTGATTAGTTGCCTTTGATATATGTTGCGCTTTTGCGACCGGTTCGAATCGGTTCATGGATCCAATCGGTTCAGGTTTAAACGATCCCACGATCCACGTGGACTCACTCCGCAGGCGGCGCCACCCGTGCCCTGCTGCTCAACCGCCCCGCTGCTCCGCCGCTCGCGAGTCCCGCGGCCGCGACGCCCCTCCAGCGCCTTGCGCTCTCGCCAGACGCAGTGGACGGGCAGCCGCTGCCGGGGGTACAGATCTTGGAGGAAGCCGGGGGTACAGGGCTTGGAGAAGTGGCAGAAATCCATAGAACAACTTAAGACTTTATTACTAAGTGCTTGAGAGGGAGTTTGATGAGATTTGCCGCAAGGCAACTTTGGGCAAGGTTCTTTTGTGATTGACTGATGGAGGTGGGCCAAAAATAGCTTTTGGAAGTTGAACGAGGAGTTCCAAGGATGCTACACTGTACCCAGCAATCCATGGATGGAAGATTCACCAAAATATGTCATACATGAGGTCTTTGATTCATGGAAGTGGTCTTTCATTGTCAAGGACAAGAGTCGTCCAAGGCCCTTTTCCATGGCCACGGGAGGTGTCGAAGTGGATGGTAAGGTATCCGATGGCAAGACAGTTTCTTGTGTCCTGACAATGCACTTTGCTGGACATCGAAGCAATACCATCCCTCGTTTTTTCTTCGGTCTGGGGAGACACGGAGACATTGAGGGGCCAGAAGATGAGGAAGCATTGGTGGCGATGAGGAGTGACCGGAAATTCCATCCGTGTTCTCCCCTTCTTCACCGCAACTCCTCGACTCGCCGTGCCATGGAACCCATTGGAACCCATGTCGCTTTAATTAAGCTGCGAACGGTCATCACACGGTTTTGGCCGCTGTTTCGCCGGATGCGGAGGATGCGGAGGTAGCGGAAGCCGAGCTGGTGCTGGAGCTTGGAGGCGAAGAGCTAGAACGTGCGGGTTTAGGGAGGAGTCCGATCCTTGTGGCCGAGGAGTCGATCGACTTTAGGTTGGTCAAGTCTATCTCCGAAAATACGCAATACGTCAAAACAGGTTGCAACTGGTCATCCTCGGTCATTTGATGAATTGGACCGCAGAACACCAGCTTTAATATATAGCCATAATAGCTAATAGCTATATCCAGGAGTTTCAAAGGGGTGCTATCCATGCCATTACCCAATCACTTAGGGACTAAACACCACCCCTTTGTGACCCCCGGATCGGTTTTTTCCACACGCCGCCGGCGAGTGACGGACACTGCTTGCGCGCGTGGGTGGAACACCGAAGTGCTGCAACAGTGGGTCGGTGAGAAAAAGGGGGGGGGGGTCCCGTCAAATACTACTGCTCGGACCCCCCCCTAGACTGGTCCAGCCACTCCTAGTGACCTTTTGGTCCAGTCTAGAAACAAAGTACACCACCTAGTGCCAGCACCAGCCAGTGTTTAAAACGACCACCCGATAAGCATGGTAATGTCCATCCAATCACCACCCTACTACTGGGTGGTTGCTGGTGGTTTGAGATATTGTGATGTTCAAGCTTTACTTGGGATGCGAACGAAACCGCTAACCAACTTTTATCTGTTAAGTGAGTTGAAACCAACAACAAGCTAAGATCACACAGCGTGGTTTGTGCTCACCTTCTTGGCCTTGAAAGGACAAAAAGAGACACCCCTTACGAATAGGAGCAAAGACGCTACTAGGGGCTCCTGGCATCGCTACTAGTAACAAGAAGCTACTAGGGGCTCCTGGCCTTACTACTATAGGAGCAAGGACGCTCTTATATATATATATATATATAGTTATATATTGCGCACCAGCATTCACAGCAATGATCCACACATGCCGCAGGCGAGCTCACTTGGACGTCGAAGGCACAGCTCCAACGAGAGCTGGAGGAGGAGCTTTGGCTTTGCGCCTCCTTGGATTGCCAGGTGCGAACATGCCACACACACTACGCGAATGACACAATGTGCTCGTGAGTCTCCATCAAGAGATTTCATCTATCAGCTGCGATTCTTCAGCAGATGAACTTCAGAACCCACGTTCGTTTGACACCCCCAGAAGCAAGAAGCAAGAGGCAAGAGGCAAGCTTGCCGGAGCAACCGCAACAGAAACAAACAGAAACATCAGAAACTGAGACTGCCAATCCAAAAGAGGGACCTACAATATACAGATATGTCAATGTCCCAGGGGTCACAAAGGGGTAGTGTTTAGTCCCTAAGTGATTGGGTACTGGGCACCCCTAACCTCCATGGATAGCACCCCTTTGAAACTCCTGGTCCTTTGAAGTTAATTGTTTACAAATGATTATGACGCAAAGCCGGGCTTCGAAAAGTATGTTCAGATATGTTCAGACCGCAGGCAGGAGATTGCTCGCCTCTCCTGTCACGTCCCCAACTTCGGGCGTGACACCGACCGAACCACTAGTCTTCACCGCACAGACCGCTCCGGAGGTGTTCTAGAGGGCGTTTGGGGTCTCAACTCCGGCTTTGTTGGTACTAAGCGCAACGTGCCGTTTGGACGGCGAACCTGGGCGGTTTGGACGGCGACACTCGGCGTCTCGCACGGGTCGCGGAGGCCTTGCTGGACCTCCTCACTCCCTCGTCGTCCTCGTCCGCGCTTTCGGACGGCGGCGCCTGCGTCCGTCTGCGCGCGGACGCGCACGCGGCGCGGGACGCTTGGCGGCGGGCGGCCGTGCGGCTGGGTGTGACCGACAGCGACGTGGACGTGGTAGGCGCGATGCGGGGCTTGAGAAAGATTCTGAGAGTCGGGACAGGCCAGTCATCCTAGTCTTATAACTCAAGGTAGTTGGAGCTTGGGTTGTTTTTTTTGAAAGACTCTCACCTTAAAAAAGGGGACGAAAAGGGGGGTTCGCTAGTTGGCGATCAGATTTCAGGATGAACTGCTCGAGTTGAAGATTGAACAGTTGAATAACTGACCAAACAGGCCCCTTGGTACTATGACCTTCCAAACGTCGCCACTAATATGATTGTTTAAAGCGTCTTACAGCCTGGTCATTGTCGCTCATTGTCCTGTGAGAGGATCAGAAATCACTCTTCCAAGTTGGCATCGCTTCCAGCTGCTACAGGAACATGATCTTCCAAAGCCGTCACTTCAGAACCAAAGTGATGGCTTGGTATGGCTTGGTGAAATCTAAGCGTTTGCCAAGGCGACCTCAAAACAAAGAGATTGGAAACGGAGAGCCACAAAGCACACGTCTTCTGAGGTGGTGTTGGAATCATACCGCCTTTGTGGTCATGAATCCGTGTTCCTTCAAGCTGGAAGCTTGCACCCTGATGTACAAGCAGTCTGACTGTAGATTGTGGATAGTCGGAGCCCAGCACCAAAACCAGCAAACCGAACCACCAATCTACACAGCCTCAACGGAACAGGGACCAGCAGAAGCCCCTAGTAGCGTCCTTGCTCCTAGTAGTACGGCCAGGAGCCCCTAGTAGCGTCCTTGCTCCTATCAGTATACTCAATACGCGGATATACGCGGTTTTGATTTTGCCAATCTTGGTCAGGAGACGAACTGTTAGAGGACTGGCTTAGCCAATCTGAACTCGGAGCGCGTGGCTGGGTCGCAGATGTGTCGGGCGATGCTGTCTCGGTAGGATTTTTGTCTAAGTCTTGGGAACAAAATATGAAACAGATATGTCGAAACATGTCGAAACCCTTCAAGAGATATGACATCGATATGAATCTTCACTCAACCATTCCTGTTCGCTCCCTACCCCATGTGGTGATATCGGAGCGCTGAGCACAAGTACTATAAGTTACTATACTTGTCAGTCTACTTGTCCTATTCATGAATGGTAATATGACCCAATCTCCTCGCAAAGTCTTCGTTGATTTGACCTGTCCCAAGTGGTCTTTTGTTGCCCATGGCACTGGACCGTGATCCACTTGCTAGGGAACTTGTGTGCTCTATTCATATCTTTTCCTGTGGTTCTGACCCCATGACTGGCCATGGGTGTTGCGTGCGTCGCCATTTGAGCTGCACCTTTGACTTTGTGCATCAAGAGTGCACCTCAAGCACACCTCCAAACCCAGAAGATCCCAGAAGAAGGGTAGACAAAAAGTCCGAAGATGTTCTGGTATAGATTCAGATTCATATCGCGTATATATATATATATATAGATAGAGCCTATATATATATATGTGTGTGTAGTATTCCAGGATGGTCATCCCAACACATGCGTCGTACCTGCATGTGCTGCCGCACGTAAGCATGCTGCCATGTGAGGCAGCTCTATGAGACTCTTTCCAAGGGAAGAGGGTGCCGCGACGGCAGAACAGGGGAGATCCGTTCTGTTCAGCATCCAACACGGTGACCCCCTCCCCGCGGAGCAACATCCCGTACATCGGCAGATCAAACAAAGGGGTTCACCGAGAGTCTTTTTCGAGGGGTGGCTTGGAGCCTCATGACATGGTGATTCAAGGATTGTTATTGCTGGGTGGAAAATCTGGCATCCTCCAACTGGATTTCGAATACCAGGAAAACTGGATTAAGCTACTGGTTAGGCCAATTGACCCATTTCTGGGAACATGGCGGCAATATTTCAGGATTTGAAGAGCAACTTGTTTCCCTAGCAGGTTTGATGCTGTGGGTTTATGTTGGAGCAGCAGACATGTTTGCTTCGATCCCTTGGTTCCAAGGTTTCAATGTGCCAGGTTGGTGGTGGCATGTTGCAGCAACTATTGATGATGGGGAACAATTAAAAGTCACACAATGGGCATTGGCTATTTTAGCCACACATGGCTGGGTGGACGTGCAATTTGTGGGTCTTCGGAGCGAAAATCCCCGTCATGGACACGTGATTTGGACGTCCATGACAAACTGTAACGATCCGGGACCATTTTTGGTCTTTGCAGACGTGATCTGTAGTCTGGTGGATGCTTTTGGATCCTTTTGTTTTTTCAAGGATACACAAGGTCACAAGGATCCAGGGTTTCAGGCCATGAAGGGCGACCCTTGTTACTAGTAGCTTCTAGCCTCTATAGCTTGTTACTAGCTTCTAGCTACTTAGTAGCGATGCACCTGTTCCTAATAGCGATGCACGTGTTACTTGTGACCTATAAAGAGGTGGTTTGGCTCCATGGCGAACTTGCCATCGACTCTATTCTCCCCACTCTATCCACCCACTCCCCAGGCCAAGAGCTACTCCACAGGCCTCTGTCGACGCAACGAACGACTTCCAGGACCCTCTAAGGGGTGCCCAATTGAAGCCTATAGGTAGTGTGGAGTAGTCCATTGGACACCCCTTGGAGGGTCCTGGTTCAGGTGATTTGCATCTCCGGCGAGGGGATCTGCTGCTCACCAATGCCCGTGCCTTCGCCTCCGGCCAGCAGCAGTTCCTGCACAAGGCAGGGAAGCGATCGAGGGGAGCGATCGACCTCGGCCATGGCAACTCAAGACCCTTTTTCACCTGCTTATGAGGAAATCCCGTATGTACCACAGACCAGGGTCCGCTCGTTTAGGTCTCTCAACCTCTCTTGGTTCCGCTGGGAAATCCGCTCATTCAACCTGGTTCCGGCCCGCTTTGGAAGAGAAACACGGCACGGCATATCGGTCGGCGTGTAGGCTGTTGCAACCAGGTCCTGTAGGCTGTTGGCATATCCTGTCTCTGATCTTGGGTGATCGTGTTTGGGTTGAATGTAAGTCGTTGCCATCGCGAGTTGATGCCAGTTCCCATCACGTGATATTTGGGATTGAAGCAAACGTGTTTTGGCAGCCTTGGAGAGGGACCTGTTTTCCAACATGGCTACACTATTTAAGGATGACCTGTCAATACCGTGTCAATACCCGTCAGTCGAACTCTACACAGATGGACTATGCATGGACTGATTTGCGGCACGGGAACTTAAACCGCCAGTCGAAGCATGGTTTTCCTTTGGATTCTTTCCGTTTCTGCGGTGTTGTGCAGGTCGAAGTATGGTCAGGAGACGCCCATGGCCATCCATGACTGCCATGACTGACTTGGTTTGAAAGAGTCTCCCCAGTCACCTGTCACTAAAGGAGTCGAGAACGGGGGCGTTGGATGTGCCCTTCTCGTGCCATGACCCTTATGACCCGTAGTGTGCTTTGAGAGGAGACGCCCCGAAGAGAAAGAGTACCAGCACCGCCCCCCCTCCAGGGTTTCCTGGCTGGAAGTTCCGATTCCGAATGCTTCCTGTGGATCTCCAGCCAGAACACCCCAGCCAGGACACCGACAAGGTCCAGGTCCAGGTAGCTGTTAACGGTGTTGGCCCAGAATCCAGCCCTTGAAATCGCGTCCTCAGAGGCCCTTCTCATCGTTCTGGCAGTGGACGGAGACGAGGTGGCCTACTTGGAGACGACAACGGAGTCGAAAACGAGTTGGGGGATCTGGGAAACAGCATGGGCCGTGGTTGTGTAAAGGTCTGGGCCGGTCCCTGCACTGCATTTTTGCAGCATGTGTCTACCAAGCTTTCCGTCGGATCATGGCCTCTCAGGCGGCTTTCTTTCTGTTCACCACCATGGGTCTTCGGTGAGGCATCAGTGTGTGTCTACTCACTGAGCTATTAGCTCCGCTCCTGCCAGGGGACCTCAAAGCATCAATCTCAGAATTGGTTTAAGGATGTTTAAGTTTTCTTTTGCAGGAAAACCATAGTTTGGAGGGTGAAAACCGTTCAAGACGGCTTGATGGCAGCCAGAGGGAGTTTGAACTCAGTCCTCTCCCCTGAATATGGAGCATCTAACATTGAAATTAAAAGTTTCTGTCTTGGTAGCAAGATCCAGAGAGCATAGAGGGCCAAATTACAACCTGAGAAAGCAGTTAGTCTTGATTCTTGATTGGGTGAAATCCAACAGTGTCCTCTATGACACTGACGCCATTGCATATTCAGCTACTTCTACAAGGACCGACTATGTTACGTTTGGAAAAGCATGAAGCTTCTGAGCTTTCATCAAGGTCCAATGACAAGGGCAAGGGAGGAGTGTTCAGCATCTCAAATGGTTCCTCATATGTGTGCTCGCTCATACCCGCGCTCAGTTCAAGAAGCGAGCATGTACGCAGAAGCTGGGCTCGTTTGGAGCAACTCTTCTGTCTGCCATCAAAGGGAGATTGAACGGCAAGCTTGTGCTGGATTGTTTGAGAATATGCGCAAAGCATAACTTCTTGTCTGAAGGGGCCGATAGAATGGCGTTCCAATCCGAGGAGCCCTGGGGCAAGGCCTTATACGCCGGCGGGGATGGAGCCGTTGAAGCAGGCTTGCAGTTCTTGCACGACTTCTGCGCTTGGCGCCTCAAGCACAAAGAGGGCACCCCTCCGATCGGCTGCCACATCTACACGAGCCTCCAGTTGTACTTGGCCTCGCTGCCACAGAAGCATTGGCATGTGGATCATTGTGGATCTACTGCCAACTCCCCCTCTGGGCTACTGCTTCAGATGCCGGCATTCCTCTATTCAGATGTGTCTTCACCCACATAGTCTCAAGATGCTAGAAGGGGGTCGCACGATTACCAAGCGGAGCCAGTGTGCCAAGCCGACTGACCATCACTGCCTTTGACAACTCAGTTCCGATCCAAAGAGCCCCATGAACCATGTCTGGAAAGGCCAATCCATCTCAGACTGCAGACGGTTGCTCTCAACTGTGGACCCTGTGGACCGCACTAGAAGAGACAGCTGCAGCTTGGCCTCCTGCCATAGTGCAACGGAGGAGGCCACATTCAACGGCTGGATGGTTGGAAGAACTGTCTCACTGGACCAGGTTCAAGATGATTCAAGGGACATTTCGTACATGAGCCACGGCCTTGCAGCTTGGTCAATGCAGCTAATCTGTACTGAACCACGGTTCTTTCTGAGAGAAATGCACATGAATCTCAAACTCTTGCCAAAAGGCTTGGCAGCGTTTTCACCACAATTTTGGCTCGATTCCTTGTGCAAGGTACGCAGGGTTACTCTGACTCATGGTTGCACAGCCATATTTCGAAGTTCGTATTGCACTGCTTCGACAGCATTCCTCACTTGCCGAAGGTATTCGCATCCCAGGGGGGCACACGACATAGATCTATGATGTCCTGCTGGCTATAAAGCTGGAAAGCAAGGTCACTTCTTCTCTGGCCAGGCTGCCATTTGACAGCTTGGAGTCGACTTACAAGCTGCAGGTTGAAATCTTAGTTGAGCAGCGCCAAATTTGTCCTTCTCAGCCGGTATTTATGAGGGGTGTGGAGCTGTGTCTCCGATTGAAAACGTCAATAAGAGCTGCCATGAGTTTGAAGAACGAAGTCCCCTGCTTGTGCCCGAAGATTGCAAAAGTAACCTTCCGATATACAGCAATACAGGTGTAAGGAGGCGACATGTACTTCACCGATTAGATCAACCCAGACGCTCCGTTCACAGCTCGACTGGTCCCTCAAAACCTAGGGATTGGTTCGACCCCAGACTCTCCATATGAGGGTCCATGAGAGTCTGGGAAGTTCATGGATCTTTGTCTTGAAGGAACAAGCGCGTTTAAACGTAACACATGAGTCTCGTGCTCATTACTCCCAATGCAGCTTTGCGGAATGGGGGGTGCACGACACCGTGCCTTCCGTCCCTCCATGGAACGACGGAGGAACATCCCGTACGATAGTGGGAGGAACATGTCCAAGACAATGTCTTGCGGCACGGAAGAAATGGTTATTTTTCAAGAGACATGGGGCCAGGAGCAACCAAACCCTAGAACAAAACGAGCCTTTTCTAGGTTTGGATGGTCTTGGTGGAAAGAAGATGCTTTCCCCACTGAAAGATGGACATGGTGACATGGCGCCTTGAACACAGCTGGGTTTTGGCACCAAATCATCCTCCCCATCCATCCCAATCCTGCGTGTTGCTTCTCGGACCCGTCTTTCACCAACGCTGCGAAACGACGCTCGGCTCAGGTCTTCGCCGTGTGCCTGAACCGCCCGGGCCGCGCGGAACGCGGGACGCTGCGCCGAACGCTGAGATCAAGTCCCATCGCCGTGCGCAGCTCGACGTCGACGTCGGCCACGGGCTTCGGCGTGGCGTCTCGCGCCGGCGCAGGGAGCCCAGCTGGTGCAGGGCGGAGGGCCGGCGGAGGGTGGAGGATGAGGTGAGGACGGGGACATTGAACACGCCCTGGCATTTCCTCGGCATACTGCAAGATCTGCAAGAACACATGAAGAAGTTAGCCAGAGTATAGCATCAAAGTGCGTAGAAAGTTTATTGGTCGCGAGTTTGTGGAGTAGATCCAAGAGCTGTGATCAGTGATGAATGTGGCGGAATCGATCTCTCTGACACTCGCAGGGAATGGAATGTGAAATGTGTCCACCTCAAACCTGGGGTTCAAGCAAAAGTACCTAAACTGGTTCTCTTGGCGAAATAGTGGTGTCTTTAGAGAACCATGCAGCGTTTCGGTTATCAATTGTTGGTCTGGACTAGCTGTTAAGGGACACCTCCTGGATTCAGCCCCATTCAAATCGAAGCAGTTGAGCCTCAAATGGAGCTGTTCCGAACGCAAGGCCGCTTGGAGTTTCATGCAGTTCTTAGATTTCCCAGTCAAAGACCTTGGCGAACTAGTGATCCACCCCAGCAGTCCTTCGAGTGTCTGGTCGTGTCTTGTCCTGATCAGGGTGCAGTGGATCCACCCCGCAAAACATTTCTCCAACAACGCTTCACCGTCACCCAAAATCCATGGGGAAAAAGGCATCTCCAAGTTGCCCTAAGGCCCTACGGCTTTCTTGGACCTTTGGGCATATTCCATTCCTTGTAACAGTGGATGATGATGGTTAGGTTCCAGGCCTTTCTCTAAAATAGTGATCATTGTTTAACGACTGTTGCAGGTAATGTAGACTCTTAATGAATAAACCTACCCCAGACATTGATTGAACAACCTCTTCAAGCTTGGGAGGATTAATGAAGTCGACATTCATGGGGCACCCAAACCTCTTGGGACAGCGACCGGGCCCACGCCGTGCCGCCTCCAGGGCCGCGGGGGGAACGGCCGCGCCCCTCCGGTCGGTCGCCGAGCCCGCGGAGCGGAGACCGTCCACTTCGGCGGCGACGAAGCGACGTGGAAGCGAAGACGTGTCGTAACCCTTCTTCTGGGGACATGAGGGGACCATGTATAGTGGTAGAATCTGGTAGAAGGCTCCGCGTGTAGGCCTGGAGAAACCCCCCAAACGTCTGTTTGAAGCAAACACCTGGGGCAGAAGTCCACATCCCCAAACTTTCAGGCACTGAAAAACCCATCCAAGTCCCTAGGGTTCCAGTCGTAGCTTCGTTTCGAAGGTGTGAGACGGGTGGGTTCGGGTGCAGTCATACCTTCGGAGGTACGACTGGAGCCCTAGGGTATATAAAATTATTTTCTAAGTGTTAAGCCAGCTATGTTAAGCTCTTTGTTTTTGTTGTTTGAGTTGAGTATGCTGGTCAAGTTGTGTTTTTCATCCGATGCCATCAGACCTTGAAACCGTGACTGTATTCTTTATGCATTCCTCAGTTTTTGCTTCCTTTGGTTTGCGAAGTAATAGGAAGTGGGATGCATGCCACGACTTTTTCGGCCACGGCCACGGCCAGCGCTAGCCGCGACGCCTGTCCAACGCAGCTGCGGATTCTCCATCGAATTCGATGGCGCCGGCGTGATTTTTGTAGAACAACTATCGAGAAGAGGTCCTCCAAAGATGGTCTTGGAAAGTGTTCTTCATCCGATGTTCAAAGCTCCTTCGTCGCACTGATTGGATGTGTTTATGGGCCTTCAGGGATTGATTTGATCTAGATCAGAGCATGAATCTTCAGACTTCTTAGAGTCGAAGGTGTTGACTCTTAGGATTGGTTGGTCCCCTGATTCCAATGATCCTAGGACGGACATAGTGAGCCTAGGCTGTTCATGGCGATGTTCGGATGAAACACCGCCCACCTTCCAATGCGCTTCCATGGCAGGACTTTGATCGTTGGACTTGCCTAGCCACTTCAACAGGCGCAGCAGGGATTAAAAAAGACTGGGAGTGTTCGAATGAGTTTGCATCGACTTGGATATTATTCACCTATAGAGAGGAGACAGATGATTTCTGGTCCTACATTGGCAGGGCAGGTATTCTAGCGTGGCTAAACTGAGCATGGTCGCGAATTCCTCTTCTATTGGTCATCCTTTATAGACCATAATGACACCGCCACCGCTCCCTTAAATGGTGCTCCAAGGAACACTAACCCATTAACCTTTTAGCTCCCAAGAAATATTATGGGAGACCCTGGAGATCACTTTATCAAATCTAGAGTTTGGAAGTTGCTCCTCGTAGCGATGCCAGGAGCCCGGTTCGTAGCTTCTTGCTCCGTTCGGTTCGCGATGCCAGGAGGGTGAGTGCCATGAGTCTTACTCACCTTTTCAATCCTTTGAACGCCGAACTCGCTCCACCCGAACCCGCGAGTTCCGCGAGTTCCGTTCCGTCGCCCCACGCAAGTTCCTTCACCCGCCCCACGCAACGGGACACGCGCGGTTCGAACGGGGGAGCGAGAGGGCGCGAACCGTGTTCTGTGCGATGCAAAGGGCCCAACGACCTGGTCAAAAGAAAGGCGCAGGGAAGTGGAAGCCTGATTGATGCCCGCCTTTTTCCCCAGATAGCGAAGCTATGGGGTTCTTATTTCAAATAAAAATGAGTTGCCCGTGCGCGCTTTGATTGCCCGTATTTTTTCTGGAAGAAGACACTTCCCATGTGTTTACTTTCCATGCTTGACTGGCCCTTGAGCCGCTTCAGCCCTTCGCCAGTCAAGCAACTGCTATCTTCCCGCATCGTCGACTCGAATGCACCTGAACCAGTAATCATTCTCAGAACTGGTTTGAGAGAAAATCCACAGGAAACCCCCTTCCCATCCCGACACCTATCGGTTGTTTTCTTTGGGTTGTGTGTTTCACCCATCGATCGATGGGTCCTGTCGATGTGTTCCACCCCATTCGGCTTCCAGGTGACACTCTGCCGGAGGATGCCGTGCCCTTGGGCGACAGCGGCTTGTGGTGGTGCCGCGACGCCGGTGAGGCGCGAGCGGGCGCGAGGCGCTGGGCGCTGGCGTGGGTTCCACGGGTGGGCTATGTGTGGCATGGGTGGCGGTAAGAGGTGGGAATCGAGGTGGTTGGATGGGAACTGATGTCATCAACATCAGTTCCTCATCTCCAACAGCAGTAACTAGCTGGTCCAGTTCCTGTCGAAAAGTGCTGGGATCCACAACAACCCAAGTTTCATGGATTTCGTGGTTGCTTTGGGCAAGCCAAAAATCAGTTCCCTGAACCAGCATTAAAGGGGTGCTCATGGAGAAAGTGCGGGGATGCCCAGAACATCACATCCACGGCCGATGGGATGAGCCATTCCTTCACCTCCATGTGACTCTTCGGTCCATTCCTTCCTTTAGCCTATGAGTATCCATCCCGTCGACACATGCACGACGTGTCTGGGACTGCCAGTTCGGACTGCCGCCACAGA